GACTCTTACCTGTGGCCCAAGGCATGGCCTTGCTTACAAAAAACTTGCGTATCAATGAGTACATTACAGTCACCCCATCACCTTGGCTCACCCCATGCCCCATCTCCTGATCCAAGGGATCGCAGAAGTCGCCAGATCTCGTACCTCTTATAACCCCTCAAATCAAGACCCTGAGGTTCTGTAAATCTTTTGAGGTTCCTGAAGGGTAGGAGGCAGCTTAAGCTCATCCCTGGGGCTGGTAACTTGAACTGCAGGTCTCAGGTGACAGCAGCCACCTCAGCATGAATAATTGAAAGCCAGTCCAGCCTCCTGCTCAGAGTTATCCCCCACAGCAGGCCCTGGACTCCCTCAACCTGTCCTGTGCTCTGGTCTTGCCTAAGCAGGAGCCTCCAGCCCAGGTAAGCAGGGCCCTGGATTGTGGGTTCCCAAGCACACCAGTTCAAGCCCACCGCATCACTCATCTATTCACACCCATCCATACACTCTTTCATTTTTACTCCCCGCCACCACCAGGGGCCTTGCAAGAAGGCCTGCAAGGAGGTCAGATCTGGATGAGGAAGAGAATGGCCCAGGACATGGGAGGAGAGGCCCATTCCCCATAGGCCTCTGGAGAGAAGAGCTGAGTAGAGGGAATATGTGTGCTGTGTGTTATGTGTATGTACACATTTGTGAAGGGAATTCTAAGACAGCACAGGAGAAGAAGGGAATACAGCGGAGAGGAGATAGGGCTGGAGAATTATTACAGAATCAAAGACTCCTCCTATCCGCAGGGAAGAGCAGGCAGAGGGAGGGTCCTGGGATGGGAAAGAGGACATCTCACCCTAACACCCTATGGAGTATTTTGATTGCCTTTTACTGAGGCAGGGCACAGTGATGGTGAAGGTGTTTGACTGCAAACCTATGCTCTTTTGCTACACAGCAGTGGTCAGAGGAGTCCAAGCAGGCAGAGGGTAGGGGTGGGGGAAGATATCCCAGAGGGGAACTAGTGAAAGGGGTCCTGAAGAAGGGGTGACTTCAGTGATAAAGAGAAACAAGTCAGGGGAACAATGTGAAGATGGAACCAGGGGTTGGGACTGGGAAGAGGTGATTTGGGGCTGGGTGCTGAAAGTAGACAGTATGGAGTCCTTGAAAGTACACAGGCTTGGAATCATACTAACCTGGATTCAAATCCCAGTTCTGCTGTGTGACTCTGGACAAAAGCCTTAGCCTTTCTGAGCCATGGTTTGTAAAACATAAGGATAATTGCTACTGGCAAAGGCTACACAAATAGTTAAATTGTGGGTGTGGGTTTCCCTCCCTCCACCCCAGGACCCAGGTAGGGACCATGTCCCCTGCCATTGCACTGGCCTTCCTGCCACTGGTGGTAACATTGCTGGTGCGGTACCGGCACTACTTCCGATTGCTGGTGGGCACGGTCTTGCTGCGAAGCCTCCGAGACTGCCTGTCAGGGCTGCGGATCGAGGAGCGGGCCTTCAGCTACGTGCTCACCCATGCCCTGCCCGGTGACCCCGGTCACATCCTCACCACCCTGGACCACTGGAGCAGCCACTGCGAGTACTTGAGCCATATGGGGCCTGTCAAAGGTCAGTGTTCCCTAGCCTTCTGCTCCAAGAAGTACCCCCAAGGCAGTGAAGGAATATTTGGGATCTGTTGCTGCTTTACTGGGTGAATAGGGCAGGTTCTTGATCCTCTTTTAGGGCCTCTTTTTTTTTTCTCATCTGGAAAAGGGGAGCTTGGACTAAGTCATTTATTCAGCAAACATTTATTGCCACCTCTTTTGTATTAGGAATGTGCTAGGTGCCAGGGAGGGGGGTAGAGGCCACAGAGATGAACTAGCCATAAATGCTGGCCTCAAAGGAAGCATAATACACAGTGGAATAACCATCTCAGCAGATAACCCATAGCTTTGTAATTATCTGTCTCCGCATCTTTCTTCTCCACCATGGAGGCTTCCACATACCATTTAGGGTAGCTGTCTGCCTGGATTTATCTCAATCCCAGCATAAATGCTTTTAGGGTCTTATTTAAGAAATTCAGCTGTGTGGTGGTTCACGCCTGTAATCCCAGCACTTTGAGAGGCCAAGGTGGGCAGACTGCCTGAGCTCAGGAGTTTGAGACCGGCTTGGGCAACATGGCAAAAACCCATCTCTACAAAATATGCAAAAATTACCTGGGCATGGTGGCACACACCTGTGGTCCCACCTACTTTGGAGGCTGAGGTGGGAGGACTGCTTGAGCCCAGGAGGCTGAGGCTGCAGTGAGCCGTGATTGTGCCACTGCACTCTCCAGCATGGGTGACAGAGCAAGACCCTGTCTCAAAAAAAAAAAAAAAAAAGGGAAAGAAATTCAGAAATTCACTGGCTGAATTTCTGGTGGCTCACTGGCTGAGGCACTGGTGGCTCGTGCCTGTAATCCCAGCACTTTGGGAGACCGAGGCAGGAGGATCACTTGAGCCCAGGAGTTCAAGACTAGCCTGGGCAACAAAGCGAGACCCCTGTTTGTACAAAAAATTTAAAAATTAGCCGGGTGTGGTGGTGAGTAACTGTGGTCCCAGCTACTAGGCAGGCTGAGGTGGGAGGATTGCCTGAGCCTGGGTGGTCAAGGCTGCAGTGAGCCATGATCACGCTACTGCACTCCAGCCTGGGCAACACAGCAAGACCTGGCCTCATAAATAAATAAATAAATAAATAGAAGTTCGTCCAATTCCAAGATCAGAAATATATTCAATGAGCAATAAAAGGGGAATGAAACTACAAATTCTAACAGAGACCTTTCATAAATCTCAAAGATAGGGTGGTTGTTTCTGCCTGGGACCTCATGGAGAAAGAGCAACATTTGAACTGAATCTGGAAGTTTTGAGTTGGCCAGGCAGATGGAGATGGGGGTGGGAAGGGCAAAGCCAGCCACATATACACATGTGGCATGAAGGAATGAGACAGCATGATGGATTCTGGGTACAGTTGTTTGGGATGGCTGTGATACAGGCCATAGGTGGGAAGTACTGAGAGATGAACCTGGGAGGTAGAATAGGATCAGGTCCAAGGTCCTGAATGCCAGGCTGAGGATCCCAAGTTCAATCCCAAAGGCCTTCAGCTCACAGGAGCCAAGGAGTAATAAGGTCAGATTGGTTGGAAAGATTCCAGGGCTGGTGTGAAGACTACACTGTAGGAGACGGGGACCAGGAGGGCAGTTGGGGCTATGGTACAAGAGACAGATGAGACCCCAACTGGTTGGGAGCTGCAGTGAGGCAGGTGAGCATTTGAGATATCTTTCTATCAGGGGCCCTGCATTCGTCTCCTATGTCTTCTGCAACAGCCATCTCCCCACATAGGTCAGATCCTGATGCGGCTGGTGGAGGAGAAGGCCCCTGCCTGTGTGCTGGAATTGGGAACGTACTGTGGATACTCTACCCTGCTTATTGCCCAAGCCCTGCCCCCTGGGGGTCGCCTTCTTACTGTGGAGCGGGACCCACGCACAGCAGCAGTGGCTGAAAAACTCATCCGCCTGGCCGGCTTTGATGAGCACATGGTCAGTCTCCCATCTCCCCAACCCAGATTTCTGTCACCCCAGGCCTTGCCCTAGCCAGACATCCCTTGTGAGGGACTCCCATCTAAGGAGAAGGAAGCACCTCCACTCTGGGGACTGTGATGCTGGATGGTGTGTCCTCGTGTCCCAAGTCATCTGCACATTATTTTCTGCCGGATGACAAAAGAAACAGCTAAGAGGAAGGCCTCTGGAACCCAGCAAATTTGGGTCCAGCTCTTACTCTGCCTCTTGTTAGCTATGTGACCTTTAGCAAAGCATGCATCCTCTGAACCTCAGCTTCTTCACAGGCAGAATGGAAATCACAATACTGATCCTGACTTCTTAGGTTCTGAGGTCAGAGGAAATGTGAGAACACTCATGGGGAGCTAAGCCAGGACCTGGCATGAAGTAAGCCAGATCCTCGTGGGGTCTTCACTGGGAGAACAATTCCCCCAACCCTCACCTCCAGCTCCCCCTATCCTCACAGGTGGAGCTCATCGTGGGCAGCTCAGAGGAGGTGATCCCGTGCCTACGCACCCAGTATCAGCTGAGTCGGGCAGACCTGGTGCTCCTGATACACCGGCCACGATGTTACCTGAGGGACCTGCAGCTGCTGGAGGCCCATGCCCTACTGCCAGCAGGTGCCACTGTGCTGGCTGACCATGTGCTCTTCCCTGGTGCACCCCGCTTCTTGCAGTATGCTAAGAGCTGTGGCCGCTACCGTTGCCGCCTCTACCACACTGGCCTTCCAGACTTCCCTGCTATCAAGGATGGCATAGCTCAGCTCACCTATGCTGGACCAGGCTGAGGTCCAGGCCCAGGGGTACTTACTGATGCCCACACCCACCCCCACCCCCACCCAAGCAGGGACCTCAGAATCTGCTCCCTTTCCTGTTTGGGGCCTTGACACATGCTGGGCTCAGGGCTAGGGAGTCTCTCTTCCCACCTCTGACCCCTTTCAGCCTCTACACTGACCTCAAGTGTCAAGTTCTATCAGGCTGCTTGGTCTCACTAGGCCCCCTCTTTCCAGGGAGAACCATGGACTGACAGCATTCTTGCTGAGCTCCTGACCCATCTCTGTCACTGATTTGCTGAGTGACTCCAAGGGAATCCCTGCCTTGCTCTGAGATTTAATCTTCTCTCTTAACATGAAGGAAGCTGGATGGGAGAGCTCCAGGGACCTCCCAGTTCTCGGCCTCAGAAAGCCTCCCATCCTCAGCCCATGCCATTCAGGGTGGGATCAGAGGAAGTGGCAGACAGTGAGTTAGAGGCCCTGTAGGAATAGCTGGATGCAAGCTGGGCCAGAGAAAATGGCACAGAACCCTCGACCCAGGGCCAGGCATGCCCTGGCCTTCTCTAACCCTGGCCCACTTAGCCAATTAGGTGTGGCTGATGTCCCTTGAGTGCCCTCTCCCCAAAGCCCAAAAGAAGATGCTGGACTCCTCTGGGCCCCACCAACAAAGAGGGAATAGACATGGGGGGAAAATCACTCCTTTGTCTTTATTAAAGAAACTTAGAAAGAGACCAGACCTGCCAATCAAGGGGTGAGGTACTGGCCAGGAAGGTGGAGTGGGGCTCAGGCCCTGGGGATTTCAAGTGCAGATCGATGGCCTGGGAGGGGCCAAGGAGACCAGATCCTGGCAGCAGCTGAGGAGGTGCCCAAGGGTACTTTCAGGCACTGGGGCCATCAGCTGGTTCTGTGGGCAGGGGTTGGGGGTTGGGATGCAGGGTAGTTTGGCCTGGAATCTCTCTGAGGCCACCCTGCCTTGTCTACCTAGATCATCCACTGGTCCTGATCCTGTTCGTTGCCTTCCATGTCCACCTGGAGAGGAGGCTGGGTGTGGGTGGGGAGGGGCCTCAGCCAGCCTCAGCCCCAGATCCTGTCCCTGGCTGGATCCAGGGTTTCTGTACCCTTTGGCCATCAACTGGGTCAGAAGCAGGGGCCCAGGAAGAGAGGCCCTCCCCCATACCCCCTGCCTACCTCATTGACCTCTCCGTCATCAGGCGACTCATTGTAGTCATTCATCTCGTCCATGTCCTGCATGTCCTCATCATCCTCTGAGTCCTCTTCACTATCCTCATCGTCTTCATCATCCTCTTCTTCCTCGTCATCATAGTGCTGGTGGGCAGGACAGAGCCTGTAAGCCCTACAGGCCTGCGTGGATCAGTTCAAGAACTGACCCACTTGAACCTCTCTCTAAGGCCAATGAATGACCCCCCACCCCAACCCTCCCTCCTTGAGTCTAGCAGGCTGGTGCATGTTCTGCAGGACCTTAATGCTAGGCCCAATGCCCACCCCTTCTATCTCCCGTTTTTACCCTTCACCCAGATCTGAGAACCACAACTGCTCTGGGTGAGAGGCAGGACATTCAGAATTAGAGCAGAGCCTCGGTCCACTGTGGCCCCCACACAGGCCCCACCTGCTAGAGCCACTCACCTCTGAGGCTGGCTTGCCAATAGGAACCAGGTTGTTGTCTTTCTCTGCGATGCTTTGGAGCTGTGGGCAAAGGCACAGACGAAAAAGGCCAGAGCCCAAGTAGGGCAGGTCAGGGGCATGGGACTGGCCCATTCTGCCCAGAAGACGAGCCACACGTGTGGGGGAGAAGCCTCCTCCCAGTTCTCAGGGAGATTCAATCCCTTTCTTGTCATCTGCCATTTATGAACTTGATCTAAATACTTAAACTCTCTGAGCCTTGGTTTTTTCGTATAATTATGGTGAGGATGAAGTGAGAGACTTACCAGCCTAGAAAGTGTCATCTGCTAGATCCTCAATAGTCAAAATTATTTCCTGTGCTTTAGGGAAAAGAGCTTGGGCTGAGTGTCAGCAGCCTGGGCTCTAATCTGGCCCAGAAGTCACATGGTACCCCTGTAAATTAGGGTATGAAAAGATGAGAACCTTGGCTCCCTGGCTCCCAGCCTGATTATTCCCAGCTGAGGGCAAAAAGCTCTTCCTGGGCAGATTTCCAGAATAAGGCTGGGTCATGGCCCACTGAAGGGGGTCTCTGTCTGTGCTGGGGTCTCTGTCTGTGCTGTGCTAGCTGCTCACTCACCCAGGCCTGATGCTGCTGTTCCTGCTGCTGCAGCTCTGTCTCTTCCACACAGGGTCGATCCAGATTAAACCACAGTGTCTCAGTCACACGAGGGAAGAGTGAGGGGAACAAAGTGGACATGGCTCCTAGACTGAGGGAAAGGGTCAAGTGAATGTGTTTTGCTTAGTTTTCGTTTTTAATTTGGTTGTAATTTGATTTAGGGATAGGGTGGAAGACAGCAGGAAAGCAGCCCCTCCCACTAGGAATCAGATAGACCTGGCTTTGAGTCCTGGCTCCAACACTTACTAGCTGTTTGACCTTGGCTGAGTCACTTAACCTCTCTGGGCCTCAATGTCTTCATCTGTAAAATGGGGATAATAACAATTATACCACCGTCAAAGTTATTCTGATAATTAAGTAAATAATGGATAGATAAAGCTGTTTGCAGGTTGTTCAAGGAGGGAAGGGAATGGGAGTCAAGTGTAGGAATAGGAATCCAGAATGCAGACTGGCATTATGAAATTATACAAAATTAGAGGTAGCAGGGTTCTACTGAAATTATCCCTACCTCCTCCATACACTAAAACCTGCTTTTTGCACCTTTATGATGGCCCATGCCACACCCACCCAGTGTCAGAAATTTAGGACACTAACGACCGCTCATAAATCACAGCCAAATGTTGGGGTGGGGGGATTGTAGCATATGCAAGCAGGGCTTAGTAAGACATTCTAGGAGGCATGAATAAGTGGATAAATAAGTAGATGTAAGATTGAATGGATGAACTAACATTATAAGGGTACAATCAGCTTTGAGCGGCTGAGGGAGCCGACCAGGAGTGCTAGATAATCTTTATTAAACTGAGGACAGGCAAACTGAGGCCCAGCGACAGGCAGAGACTGGCTTTAGGTCATACAGTGAGTCGGGGCTTAGAACTCCTCCGTGAAAGGGATGAGCAGGAGAAAAGAATTGATGCTGGTCCTGCTTCTGTCCTAATTTATCTGACCGACCCAGGGCCAGCCGCTGCCCTTCCCTGTATCTCAGATTCCCAACCTGCGTAATTAGGCACGAGAGAAAACACCCTCATGTCCAAGAAGTACTGACAGGCCAGAGATCTCAGCTCGGAAAGCCCAACCCACCGTCGCAAAGCCACCGCCCATTCTTTACTCATTACGCTAATGACCATGCAGTTGACCAACAGAAAGAAAGTAGGGCGGGACTCAAGACAGAAATTTGGCCTTATAGGGTTGCTAAACGCGAAAAAAGCGGGGCCTGGGTAGGGCCAATTAACTGAAAGAAATGCTGGGTGACAGGAAGTGACACCAATGAATGACGGACCTTGTGTGAGGGGTGGGGCTTAGTCTCGAGGAAGCGGCCAATGAACTGGAGCTCTTTAAGGGTTAAGGACTCTCAATATGGAGCTCCTGGGCAGTCGGGTCAAAGGAAATGGGTTTCTGTGGGAGAAGGAATGAAGGGGCAAGGAGACGACGGCAGCCTTGTCTCTGTACTTACCGCGCCGGGAGGCTGCAGCCGGCGGCGACCCGGAAGCGCTTAACTCAGCCTGAGCGGAAGAACCCACCAGAATCCGGGACTCACCAAACGCATGCGTCCTTCGTCTCCTTTTGTTCCCTGCTCCCGCCCACTAAACCGGATGTGACGTTGCATACCTTAGTCACAGTGTTAGGGAAGGAAGTGTGACCCGCCTCGAGGCTCAGCCAATCGGCCTCTCCATCCTGGCCCCACTACTACGGCTACATTTAACCCCTGCCGCTTTGTTCCCAGGCACCATTTGCTTGTTAACCCCTTCTGAAGAATAGTTGACAGCAACCTCTTAGTGCGAGGGCCGTTTGTCCTGCTAATCTAATTACTACTCCAGAAAACTAAGAAAACTAATCTGTTACTACTCCAGAATTGCTGGTTAATGTTATGTCCCTCCTGTCTGTGCTCTCTCAGCTTCAGTTTCCCGTTTGAGCACATTCATTCTTTTTTATTTTTGCTCTGAACAAAAATATTTGAGTTCCTATATTACTATATTCCAGGCCTTGCTAGAAACTGGGGATACATCTATGAAAATGGTGGCTTCCCTGGAAGACCTCACAGTCCAGGGAAGCCAAACCCTGCAGACATGCAGTAGACTCAGTGATCTCTCTTAAGGTTGTCTGTTGAATTCTGACATTGGAGATTATGTACAGACTTGAATGACTAGTCAGCCTCAGGCACAGCATTCTGTTGCTTGGGGAATCTGCTGCCCTCCTCAGACCTGGGCCAAGTCCCCTTAGAGGTCAACCTCGTAACCTCTCCCATTCCTTCGCTGATGCCTCAGTTCCAGTAACCTCTGACTCAGCTTCGCCTTTAGAGATACTCATGCTTTCTGGAAACAGAGGTCCTTCAAACCCAATTCCTATTAAGCTCCATCACTTACCAGGCTCTTCCAGGGACAGCAGTCGTCCACATTTCCAGTACTGTCCTGGACAGATGTGTGAGTTTTGGCGAGTCCTTTTGCTCTCTGAACTCAGCTTCTTTGTCAACCAGCATCATAATCTCTGCCCAGCCTTCCTTCTATCCTGGGCTGATGTGAAGATTGGATAAGAATTGTTCAAGAGGTCATGTACTGTGCATATTGAATGTGATTATATTGCCAAATAGCACCGTTTGTTATAGTTTTTCATTAAAGAGTACACTTTGCCTCTTGGAAATGACTACCTTTTTCATTCATTCAACAAATACCTATTGAGTGCCTTAGTATATGTCCGTCACTATTCTTAGTAGTGGGTATACAGTAGTAAACAAAACAGACCAAAAAGTCCCTCTTTTCATACAGCCTTCATTATGAGAGAGGTAAACAATGAAGAAGATAGATAGATAAATAAATAAAATATGTAGTTTTAAGATTGCAGTAAATGGCCGGGTGCGGTGGCTCAAGCCTGTAATCCCAGCACTTTGGGAGGCCGAGGCGGGTGGATCACGAGGTCAGGAGATCGAGACTATCCTGGCTAACATGGTGAAACCCCGTCTCTACTAAAAATACAAAAAACTAGCCGGGCGTGGTGGCGGGCGCCTGTAGTCTCAGCTACTTGGGAGGCTGAGGCGGGAGAATGGCGTGAACCCGGGAGGCGGAGCTTGCAGTGAGCCAAGATCACGCCACTGCACTCCAGCCTGGGAGACACAGCGAGACTCCGTCTCAAAAAAAAAAAAAAAAAAAGGTTGCAGTAAATACTGAGGAGAAAAATCTGAGAAGTGGGAATAAAATATTTGCAGGGGAGGTGTTTTATTTTTGATTGGGGGGCCAAAGTCACTGGGAAGGTGACTTTTGAGTAAAGGTCTGAAGAAGCAGAGAGCCTTCTGATATTTGTGGAAGAGCATTTCAGTGAGAGAGAATGGAAGTGCAGAGGGCCTAGAATGGCTTGGGCATAGTGTTCTCTAGGGCGAGTAATAGGTAGGACATGAGGAGTTGGGGAGTCAGTGGAGGGTTGTGAGCACAGGGTCCACACAATCTGATTTACATTTTAACTGAGTTACTCTGGCTGTTCTATAAAGAATAGACTGGGCATAGGGGAAACAATGGCAGAAGCAGGGAGACCAGTTGGGAGCCTATTATGATAATCTAGAGGTAGTGGATGAGAAGTGGTTGAATTCTAAATTTATTTAAATGGTAGAGACTACAAGGTTTGCTAACAGATGTAGAATGCCAGAATAAGAAAGGAGCCACGATTTTTGGGCTGAACAACTAAAAGATTGGCGTTGCAACTGTTTTGAGATGGGAAAGACTGGGGAGGTGATGAGGGAGGGATTTCTTTTTTGATGGGGAGCTCAGGTTTGAGTGTGTTGAGTCTGAGATGCCCGTTAGAGTAGAGATGTTGAGGCGGCAGGGAGGCATACAAATCTGTAGGTCAGGGCAGAGATCTGGGCTGGATTTGGGAGTCATTGGCACATAGATGGTGTTTAAAGTCATGAGACTGGATGAGATCACCAAGGGAGTGAGTGTAGATGGAAAATAATGTCCTCCAATATTCCGAATTTGAGGAAACTAGGAAAAGCAACAAACCAGATGGAGAAGGAAGACCAAAAAGATAAGTAGAAAGCTGGGTGAGTTGATGGTATCTTGGAAGCCATGCAAAGAAAGGGTATTAGGAGGAGAAAATGGTCTACTACAGCCTCATTCCATATAAAATTGTGCTTCTGTTTATTTCCCCAGCAGACCATGAGCTCCTTGAGGGCAGGGACTGAATGGTTACTATGTCCCCAGGGCCCAGCATGACCTTCTCCTGGATTCCTCATCTTCCTCCTGTGACCTGTGTCTCCATCAGTTTCTCCTCCGGCATCTTTTTCTTACAGGATTCCTACGTCAGGTACCATTTGCCCTGTCCTTCCCGATAACTCCGCCTGCTGGAAATTACCTAGTAACAGAGTTTATTTTGAAGGTCATCAGCCAGGCTCAGTAAGTCATGATGACGGGTTAGCTGGTGACATTTACTGAGTACCAACTGAGTGCCAGACACCTTTCTAGGCCCTGGGGACAGAGGAGAAGCAGAAATAATTCCTGCCCTAGAGAAAAATATAGTGAGTACTAAGACAATTATAGACAATTATAGAGGAGGGTAATAATTGTTAAAATCAATGTATATAGAGAATACATGAGAACACAGAGGAGGGGAGATGAATGGGTTCTGGACAAACTAAATTTAGGCTTTTGTTCCAGAAAAGAAAACATTTGAGTGGGCCTTGAGGGATGAGTAGGAGTTAAGCCCACTGGTAGATAAGTGGGAAAAGAGGGTGCACAAAGAGGCATCTTTCATTCAAGGGCATGTTTGGAGAACATTGAGAATCTGGGCAGAACTGGATGTGTGGGGTGGAGAGAGATGAGAAAGAATGATAGGGGACCCAGATAGGGAAGGTCTTTGGTGGCCCTATATGGAGTGGATGGGATGGGATCCGGGCATCTTGGGTCTCACCTTTCTCTTATTGCTGACTTGCTGGGGACCCCAGGTAAATGTCTTCCCATTCACAAGCTCCCGTGTTCTCTAACATAATAGCCTAACCACGTCGCCAGCTCTGATGTGAGTCCCTGGAAGGGATTCCCCTAGCCTAACCCTTCCCATTCTTAGATTTTTACATTTGCCTTATTTGTGATTTATACAAACCAGGGCCTAGGAATGGAAAGCAGGGGTAGGATGGAGATTTCTCAACAGAAATCAATAAATCCAGAGCCCAGAGGCTGAAGATGGAAACCATGACTCTATGCAGAGAATTCTCTAGGATCCAGGAAGGGCCAGATTTGAGTGGTATGAATTCAGTGCTAGTGAGAGCTGCTTACTCATTCCTTCCATAAGCCTTGAGGAGCATGGCTGACCCTGGTAGGGGACAGAGGAGAATGTCACAGTCACAGTCACTACCTTTCATACATATGGAGGGATGGTTGGTCTCCAGAGGGTTTTCCCACTCATAGTCTCCACTTATCCTTAGCCCACCCCTGGGAATTCTGCCTTCATTTAGCAGATGAGGAACCTGAGGCTCAGGAAAGTAAAGCAGTTTGTCTGAGGTGAAGCTACAACTCAAGAATGTCAAAATCTTGCATTGTTCCACAAATCTTCCTTATGGGCTGGTATGTGCTTGCCGATGGGGACTCACAGAGGAATTCGATTTGTGTCCTAGTCCTCTTCAACTACCCGGTATGGTGTGGGTACCAGACTAACGCAAGTCATTAGGCCCTTTAGGCCAGATCTCTGTGTGATTCATGTCTATTTCCCTGGCACCTTGCACAGTGTCTAGCAGAGTAGTCACTCAACAAATGTTTATATAAGATGGATTTGTTTCCTTGGATCTAATGGAATTATAGTTCACATGAAGAATGGTATAACAGGGATAGGTTCTAAAAAGAGAAAAGTGGTAATGTTAAAAAGAGAAGAGCAGTGTGGGAGGGGAGGTGGAGAAGGCTCCTCAGGAGATGAGACCTTGCAAGAGGAGTTAGGAAAGAATATTCTAGTCAAGAGCAGACAGCATGTGCAGAAGTGCAGAGGCCTGAAAGGGTGTAGTGTGCCCAGGACATGACATTGACCCAGGGCCTGTTGTGTGGCCATCTTGGTGATGGGCACTACGAAAGAAACAGGACCAGGAGACAGTACCCTGTGCTCAAAGGACAAGGTACACCCTTGGAGGAGGACAGGGACATGCTGAGAAAGTCTTCCTTGAGCAGGGGAGACTTCAGCTGGGTCTTGAAGGATGCTTCAGAGTTCGAGTCAGAGAGGAGGAAAGGGGAAGCCTCCCAGGTGGGAGGGGCCTCCTTAGGCAGGGGCTGTGGTGGGAGGGAATGAGGAGAATGCCCAGGCAGGAGAGCATGGTGTGTGGAGGGCAGGTTGGTTGGGTGGGAGGGGCTGGAGAGCTCCATTGGGTGGGCTAGCTGAGGGAGTGCACCTTAGCCCTTAGCATGGGGTATAAGGCTTGTTCTGCCTCGTGGTCACTCAACACCTCATTTATTTCCCATCATTGTGGCCTCTCTGGACCCGATTCTGAGCTTGGGATGGATAGATGCGTTGGAAGGGATCTCTGTGAATTATCTTCCAGTTCCCTAGAAAGCCAGCCCCAGGAGAGGGGCTCCAGCCAGGTCCCTATTTGCATGGTGGTTTTGCATGTATTTGCTTACCACAAATATATGGTAAGGTTTCCTCACT